CCCCTTTTTTCAGAGACACTCTTTTTTCCCGCAGGCTGGGGTTTTATTTTTCTCAGAGGAAAAGTGAAATCAACAGTTAAAACTGTGTTGATTATTTTAGAAAAAGCCAGTTCAATCATATTATGTTTATAAAACTGTCAGATTATTGAATCAGTAATTGAAAGATTTTCTTAACTGATTAACTTTGAAAAAGGTACTCTGCTTTTCAAAATACCACTACCTTGTCTTTAATTACTACAGTCTTCTCTTTTAGAAGCTCATATATTCCAGCCCAGTGTTCTTAGCACTGTCTGTGCCACAAATCCCTTTCAGAACCTATTAAAAAGTTATGAATCCTCTCAGAAGAAAAATGTAAATACATACAAAATTTTATACATAATTTCAGGAGTTTATGGATTCTTTGCAGTATAAGATTACAATAATGGGTCTAGCCTATCAATCATTGATGACATTTTAAATTAAATAACATACACAGTTTTGCAAACTGTCCTCACTTCATTAAATCTTCTTCTTTTGACTGATTCCCTTATTATGGTAACTCTTGACCAGAAATAGCAAACTACTACCTATTACTGTATAACTCTTAATACTTGCATTTTTTAAAGTATAGTTTAAAATGAGAAACAGGGTTTTTGCTGGTGGTAGTGGTTTCTGATTTTCGTTTTTTAATCTAAGTAAATGTGTAATGGATAATTTTCCATTTTAATTCATATAATTAAAATGAAGGCCATTGGGAAAAGAATGAATACAAATACACACACAAAAAAAGTCAGTAAATCATCACCTCAAATCATCAACTTTAAAAAAAAACCTTTTAACATATAAAAAATAAGAAAAAAAAAATAAGAAATTTGGGTTTGGAATAGAATGTACTGTAAAATATTACCTATCTACCTAAGGTATCAAATAAAGGGGAAAAAATAATAAGAGGTTTACTGGAAGAAATAAAAATTTCCAAAGTAGAAAATAAAATGCGCCTCACAGAGTTAGGAAACCACACAGAAAAAGAATTCTAAGAAGTTCTTTGTTAAAAGAACAGAAGTTATTTAAGTTATTTTAACAAAAGTTATTTGTTAAAATAATGCCAATTATTCAGAGAAGCAAAGGAGTTTGAGGACCAAGTCAGTGGCATCAGATTGGGTATTTAAGATGTCACTAGAGCAGTTTCAGCACAGTTAGGAAGACAAAGGTGGGAGAGCAAATGATAAGAAATCAGTGCGAAGTAAGGATGTAATCATGCTGAGGGCAGGATATTGAAACCTCTAGAGGCAAAAGGATGGAAGAGGATCTGTAAGTCATGGGGATAGTGATAAGGCCAAAGCAGTTTCTGTGTGTTTAGTGACCCTGTGCTGGACACTTGGAGACAAAAGTCTCCATCTTTTGATAAGGCATGCCTCCATCCTCTAGGAGCTCAAAGTCTAGTGAGAAAGATAGATGCAATTGAAAATTGCAAATTATAACTGAAATTATTATTTCAATTAAAATTAAAATTACAACTCATCAGTAACAGAGATCTGCACAAAGAATTACAGGAAAACAAAGGAGGCACCTCCCACTTTGTCCAGCAGCACAAGGAGATGCTTACTAGATGTGGTGGTGCTTGCACAAGGTCTTAAAGAATGAGGAGTTATCAAACCAGAGGGCAAGGGCACTCCAGCCATACTGGATGTCACACGCAATTGTGTGGAGCAGCGCTGTGGTTCGGGGTAAAGTTCAAGGCTAGGAGCAGCAGGGGTACTGCAATCTTCAGTAACTCAGTAAGTTAGTGCATGAAGTCACCCACTGGGAAGATGCCAAGGGTGGGAGTTGTCAAAGTGAGCAAGACAAAAGGCATGGAAGTATGGTGCCAAAGGTCTTACCAAAATGAGTGACTGTGGGCTGCAGACAAGAGACATCGGAAGGGAGCTGAGAGCCTAAAAGAATAGGGAAACTGAAGGCCTGGAGATTACACAAGCATGAGAGAGACGATGTGGGAGGCGTGTAACAAGGAGGGTACATTCAAAATCGGAAAGGCTAGAGTCTGGGTTCCAAGAGGCAAAGCAGCCAGAGTGGCAGGAACGGTCACTGGAGTAAAAAAGAAGCAGAGGAGCTATGAGGCCACCACGGGACAACAAGGGGAAGTTAGTCAGGGCAGTGCAGTGGGTGAGTGCAGGAAGATGATAAACCAGAGGCTGCAGCTACCAGTGAAGGTGGAGAGAAGTGTATGAATGATGCAGTCAAGGGCCTGAAAACCGGCTCCGACCTTACCCTGCAGCCTTGGGCAAGTCACATGCCTCTCCTGGGCTTCCCTTTCTGCACCTATGAAATCAGGAGCCTGGACTAAATGGTTATTTGGATTCCTAAAATGATATCGGATAGCTTTCGCATATGGAAATGATAGCTATGAGGCTGAGAAGATGTTCGTAAACTTTGCTGAAGAACTGTCTTTATTGTATCTCCTATCAGAATTCACGAATGTTACCTTAGTAACTTTCTTTTGTATAGGACTTCAAAATTTACAAAGCTCTCTTACACATATTTTCTAACCTCTGTACATATATAATCCTAACCACCTTTCTGTGAGAGCTCTATAAGCCCTATTTTAGAGCTGAAGAAACAGATTCTACAAGGCTGAAGCGACTGCAGCTTTGAATTGGTAATGTAAGTCTTTTTCTCCTGATAAAGAGATTCTACTTGGTATACTTTATTGAGATAACCCATGACTTACTAACATTTAAAATTCATTCCCTCAGCAAGTAACAAGGGTCCCACTAATTGTACTAAAGCTAAAAAGGTCATTCATTCCAGGCATCCATCAGATTACCTGATCACTGAAATGAACAGAGGGGACTGTCTGAACTTTATTAAATTTGTATAATGTTGAAAGAAAGCTTTGTAAATGAAAAATATCAAAACAAGTCCTTGTATATGCTTACCCATACTGTTTAGTATAGACCATGACAGTAAAATAGTCTTAATTCAATCCATCTACTCTTATGTACTTGTTATATAGAGCACTGAGTCAGACCAGAAAATTTGTTTTCCTGATAATGATTCCTTTCTCTTCAATCATTCCAGATAGCAGACAGGTTCCACACTGTTGATTATAATACCCAGTTCATACCAACTACATACTAACAGGACCAATCAAGAAAGTGAAGAAATTCCTAGGTCCTCAAAAGGAAGAAATGGCTTTTAATTACTTATGAATTATCCTTTCCTTGTTCATTCATCCATAAAAAGTCCATTTAATATTTTTTATTAAATCCTTTTGGGGATATTATTTGCTTCCTTGGTGATTACAAAAATTTTAACTTTATCTTTTAAATGATAGGCAGTAGCTTCTTTTCTGAAAAACGTAAGTAGGTTTAGAAATTGAGTTATTTGTAGTGAGGTGGATGGACCTAGAGTCTGTCATACAGAGTGAAGTAAGTCAGAAAGAGAAAAACAAATACCATATGCTAACACATACATATGGAATCTAAAAAATGGTTCTGAAGAACCTAGGGGCAGGACAGGAAGAAAGACGCAGACGTAGAAAATGGACTTGAGGACACGGGGAGGGGGAAGGGTAAGTTGGGACGAAGTGAGAGAGTGGCATGGACATATATACACTACCAAATGTAAAACAGATAGCTAGTGGGAAGCAGCCGCATAGTACAGGGATATCAGCTCGGTGCTTTGTGACCACCTAGAGGGGTGGGATAGGGAGGGTGGGAGGGAGACGCAAGAGGGAGGAGATATGGGGATATATGTATAGCTGATTCACTTTGTTATGAAGCAGGAACTAACACACCACTGTAAAGCAATTATATTCCAATAAAGATGTTAAAAAATAGAAAATGAAATTTAAAAATTTAGTATGAATAAAAAATAAAATTTTTTAAAAATGTAAGTAGGTTTAGTTAAAGGAATGTACATACTATGTATTTCTGAGTCAGACACTACTTTAGAAATTAATCCCCTAAAAAGTTGATTACAACAGATCTTATGTGATTTTTGACTTTAAAAATCTCTCTTTGGTATCATTCCATGTCCATTTAGCATTTTGAGATCAATGGCAAAAATCTGTGAATTCATATTTTACAGGAAATTCTCCATGATAGACTGTCTTTTATACCTAAGTACAATAAAAATCAATCAAATCAAAAGATTATCATTAAGCAGGTAATATATACAAGGCACTGCACTATGTCATGCCAGAAACATTTTACCCAGCAGAAAGATTAAACTATCCAAGCATTATAATTTAGTGGTTATCCTCAAGAGCATGCTGTGTAGATTTCACCTTGCAAACTGAAACATTTAAGATCCCCATTTAGAAAATTGAGAGAAAAAGATAAATATTTCTTTCTATGTGATGAAGTAAGTTTACCAAAACTAGGAATATAGATGTCACTCTTCCTCATATATGCTTAGAATTTAAGAGGGAAAAAAAGCCACATGTAAAATTTAAAAAATAGAGATGAATAGTGAATGTATGACCCAAATTTTGTCATAACAGGTAAAATCCATGCTCTATTGCTGCTAGTTGATCAATCTCACTTGGCTGTTAACTCTACAGAGGTGACATTCAAGAAATACACAAAAATTTCAATCTTGATCAGATAGAAAAAGCTTATGCTCCAGAGCTCCTGCCGTGCAATGATGAGCCAGCCCCCTTCATCGCCTGGTAACAGTGTCCAGAAGTGGACCTGAAGGTTTCAGAAAAATCATCCTAGGAGGGAATTTGATAAACTCATTAACAACAACCTGAAAGGATTTGAGTTTTCTTTCTTAGATCACTATTTCAATGACTTCATTCAGCTCATGTTTCCATTGATCCTGAAAAATGAAAGAGGTTAACATGTCCTTTGTGGGGTAATCAGGTAGATCAATTTCAACTTCTAGGTGAACTACTCACTTAAATTTCCAAAGATCAAGATTACCTAACTAAATGGTATATGCACAGCAACCCCACTGGTTAGATTTCACAGTTCAAATTTTTAATACCAAAATATAAACATCACCACGATACTCACTTTTAGTTTCTTGTTTAGTTTACAGCAGTATCTGTACACCATTGCCAAGTTCAGAGGTCCAAAATCTGCATAGAAACTGAGATTTTTTTTTTAAGTAGTATTTAGTAAAGATATTTTCAGTAACATCAATGCTCATTTTTATTTTCATTAAAGTTACAATCAAGTTTCAATTATCTTTGGGAATAAAGGTTAGTATACGACTGAATCATAATAATCCAAATAACTAGTGATTTCACCCTGCCAATGCCCTCCAGTTACTATAACCAGTCTCGTAACAGGGAACTATTTGGACAGTTTTGAGTTCCACCTCCTTTTATCTCCCTGCCAGGACATTAAGTAAAAGAATTAAAAAGCAAGCACTGAAAGAACCAATATGAACAAAACATATATGTGGCCTACACTCCTGGTTTTATTTATCACCTACTTAGTCATAAAGCACATGTACACTAAGTTCTAATTCCAACTATTCCACTCAAACTTTGCTCTCAATTTTCAAGTATCTTAAATCCAGTGGTCTTATTTTCAGTTTCATTCTCCTTGGACTTTCTGTATTATATAACACCCTGGCTCGTCTCCTTCTCTCCACCCCTTTACATCTCCAGGATACACGCATCAGTCTGCAGATCATTTGCTGTCATGAATTAAACGATAACACTATGGAAAACAGATGGCTCCTAACCCAAGACCCAACATCAGTTTTTCCCATCTTCAGCTACCTGCTGGACTTCCCATCTATGGGTCCTTCCATCACCTGGAACTCAACCCATCTTTCCTTCAAATCAGCCCTCCAGGCTGAAAACATTTTGTTTCTCCCAGTTGCTCAGACATGAAACTTCCTATTAATTTAGTTCAAATAAATATTAATTTAGTTATTATATATCAAATAAGCTACTACTCTAAGTCATCCCTTCCTTTTCTATTCCTACTTTAGCAACAAAAGTCCAGATCTTTCTTCATCTCACATCTTTAGTGTTTTAATTCTCTCTCTCCTGCCCAGTCAACCTATATTCCACACTAGAAATTAATCTTTATAAAATCTCACTTCTCACATATCCTCTCACTGTTCAAAAATGTTTAATGGCTCTTTACTCCCTTCAGAATAATTCCTTGGCTCAGAAATCAAAGCCCTAACCATCACAGCCCTAGCTTCCAGGCTGATCTCTCCTAATAGTTCCCATATGGAATCTTCATTCCAACAAATATGTCCATTCCTCATTCTCGAATACTCCATGCATATTCTTAATCCAAGCCGCTGCTCAGATTGGTCTCCTTGCCTGGAATGCTCTCCTTTTCTCTTTCTACTACCCTCTAGTTTCCTCAAAATCCAGTTCAAGTCCTACCTCCTGCACTCACCCTAAGAGAAAACTAACCATCCTTCTCTCAAAGTTCCCAAAACTTACCATCTGAGCCACTGTTTTGGCCCACGACACATACCATCACATACTATGAATTATCCTTTTAAATGAAGATCCTACCTGGCCAACTACAGTGTAAGCTTCCCACTCAGGGACTGGACATCTTGAGAATGTCCTGCTCATAATAAACTTCAACAAATAAGTCTTCATTATGACTATTTTGCTCATTAATGCCCAAATTCAATTTAGCCTAGACTATAAATTTACTAAATATCAACACGTTTCCAAAAAAAGCATCCCCAAAAGACATTTAATTTTTTAAATAAAAATTAGGATTTAATTTTTTCTGCTACCCAAATTACACTACCATAGATATGTCATTACAAATCTGCCAAAAGCCTCTTGCCTTACTTAAGAATACTATAGTTGGGCTTCCCTGGTGACACAGTGGTTGAGAGTACGCCTGCCGATGCAGGGGACAGGGTTCGTGCCCTGGTCCGGGAGGATCCCACATGCCGCGGAGCAGCTGGGCCCGTGAGCCATGGCCTCTGAGCCTGCGCATCCGGAGCCTGTGCTCCGCAACGGGAGAGGCCACAACAGTGAGAGGCCCGCATACCGCAAAAAAAAAAAAAGAATACTATACTTGTATATTTTATCCATCTTAAACAAGTAGACAATATTTTGGCCCTTATATTCAAGGTAACATGAAAATTAGCCGTTCCTGCACACAGGTTTCATGAGAGTAAGAGTAGACTTGCCAAAAAAGGAAACCTGCAAGAATTTGAAATTAAAAGTTCTTCTATTTCTAGTCCCCAGTGTGATGCTGTGCTCTAAGTATAAAAAAATACCCATGAATCCAAAATGAACTATGCCTACAACAATTACCGACCAGTTCAAGCCCTGTCGACAAGAATCCACTCAAAAGAACCAAAATGAAAAGACTGTACAAATAAGTATGTACCAGCACTGATTAAGGCAGCCTTGTTTATATCACAGAGATTTCCTTATCTTTGGGTTATTGTAAGCAAAACTCAACTAATATATCTTATTTTGCTACTTGAACATGAATTTTTTTTTTTTTTTTTTTTTGCGGTACACGGGCCTCTCACTGTTGTGGCCTCTCCCGTTGCGGAGCACAGGCTCTGGACGCGCAGGCTCAGCGGCCATGGCTCACGGGCCCAGCCGCTCCGTGGCATGTGGGATCTTCCCAGACCAGGGCACGAACCCGTGTCCCCTGCATCGGCAGGTGGACTCTCAACCACTGCGCCACCAGGGAAGCCCTGAACATGAATATTGAGACATAGGACTTTAAGGTAAATCTGGAATTTTTAGTTAAGATTATTTCAGCTTTCTTAACTCACTGTGAACAAATTTTAGGAAAGCATATAGAACGCAGGTCATCTAATTCCAGTTTCATACTAACCATTATAAGCCGACTTCAATTCCAGACTCAAAGCTATTCCTAACAATAGAGCCAGCTTAGCCACACGTACTTTTGGAAGCAACATGGTTAATGAACACACCTATTTCACCAAACAACATGAAAATAAACTGGTATACTCCAACAGCACAGGAAAAAGTAAATCAAATACAAACCTCGTCCTTAAGTTGATCTGCACTCTCCAATATGGCAGCCACTAGCCACACGTGGCTATGTAAATTTAAATTAATTGAAGTTAAATAAATTAAAAATTTAGTTCTCCCATCATATTAGCCCATTTCAAGAGTTCAAAAGCCACATGCGGCTAATGGCTACCAAGATGTACAATACAGATATATAACATTTCCATCACTGCAGAAAATGTTATGTGCTGATAGACAACACTGATCAAGATTTAAAAAAAAGAAAGAAACAAAAAATAACAAACAACTAGAGAAATATAAATAAATAACTTATTTAAAATAACTAGAGAAATAATGAAGCACCATGAGTGAGGTATAGATGAAATGTTTAAGGACAATGTCCTTTCCTTTCAGGGGCCCACATTTTTTCCCAACAGTGAGATTAGGCTCTGGTAATTCTTGTCCCTTCCTGTTCAAGGGGGTCATAGTTCCAGAAAGCCAGTTTGGGACCTAGGACAGGAGAGGGTGGAAAAATAGAAGAGGACCTAGTCCCCACTACCCTTCACAGTCCCCCAAAGAGACAGTTAGCTCAGAGCATCAGATAGCTACAATGAAAGATGTATACCTCTATCTTGACCACAGCCCCAGGCTAAGGGTAGAAGAAAAACAAGCAATCCTAACCTAGAAGGTTTCTAACCTCACAATACCTTGAAGCTCAATGAGCCAGCGTTTATATCCTACAAAAGGAGGGATGGCTTTCAAGTCACACTAAGAAATTCAGTCAAAAATTTTGCACAGCCAAGAGCAATTTAGAACATGTCTTCAAAAGTCAGAATTGTCACAGACAAATATAATGCCAACAAACTCTGTCTTAAGGTCATTTTATATATCCTTTCCTTACAGTGCTTACAGTTCTAAAAATATATATGTATTTATAATATAGTTTTATATACATATAATTTTCTAACAAGCTAAATACATTTCTGAAAATGTCAAGAGCATTGAAGAAAAAATGGTCACAGCTGCTCACACCATGCTAGGTTATCACTGACTTAGATATAATAAAATGCCATGAACAGAGAAGACACCTTCCAACAACATGCCTCTTTGTAAGAAACTTCCTCACCAGAGGTGGGGAAAATGGAAACACATTTACAGGCCAGACCATTAGCTAGAGGGAAACGTTAAAATACAAAAATCAACTGATAACAATTGAAATAACTCAAATATGCTAAAAGGTATAAAATATGTACTTGAGCAACTTGGAACCAAGGTAGGAGAATAAAAGAATTGGGCTCAGGGCAGAAGAGGAGAACTGGAAAGTCATCAACCTGGGGACAGTGAAAATGGAGAGGAGAAATGGCAGAGATAAGCCGTGTAGAGACACAATAAAGAAACCCGAGGGCTGAGTGGGCTCCTAAACCTGAGGTTAATGATACATGATAGTGTCTTCTCCATTGTGGCAATTCCCAGGAAGAGGCCTCCAGAGCCACAGTCAAGCAAGGGCCCCCGCTTTTTCTAGGGTCGGGGGAAAACTCGTCTCATGTGGACAAGGAAAACCATGGATATATTATTTTATTATTGCCGAGTACCCTGAGCTTCCCCTCTAAATGAATGCACGAATGAACAAATGAATAAGTATCCCTTATGTATATATAAATTTCCCCTTGTAAGGTTGGTAAATTATGGGTCAATACCTAGAATGAAACTCATGAATTATTAAGTGAAAAACAGTCAATCTGTCTTTTTTATTCAGTAAGTGTAAATAGCTAAAATCAAATTCTTCCCTGTTTTGATAGGAAAGAAATGAAAAGAATTGGAGTCCTGCAAGTGGGGAGGGAAGGAAAGATAGGGTTATCTTCTGGGGAGAATGAAGAAATGGGACCAGAGCAAATGTTTACCAGGGTCACCCACTACCCACAGAATTTAAGGGAAATAGAACTTGGGCCTAGAAGCCTTTCTGTTATACCCTACATGTCTAGCTCTTCTCACGAGATTTATGAAGTTTATGATGTATCATTCTTTTGTGTTTGGTTTTTCTAACAAACTCTAATTTAAGTGGGTCCATTCCTAGAGGAATCATTATTTAAAGCACAGTTGTACCTTATTCTACATATCATAAGCTTCCTCTGAAAACTGTCAACTCCTCAGCAAAAAG